TATATATGACTGACAGACCTTCCTCAGGACAGCTGTGGCTACGATGTAGCTTACCACCATCAGTGTGTGAATGTGTTAATGTCTGTAAAGCACTTTGGAGTCCGTAGGAACTTGAAAAGGTGCTAATATAAGTTTATTTCATTCACCATTATCCTATCTGAGCCTATCTATCCTATTATSTGAGAAAAATAGTGTCCTGATTTTGTTGCTTACTGAATCAACTWAAAAGTTCATTAGTTACTGTTTTGGCACTTTTTCGTAGTTTTTGCACAATGATCAAATGCATCTCTGGAGGTCTCCTGACTAACAACGATACAAAGGTTATGTTAACATGTGGACTAAAAAGTTTCTAGATGATTCATCAGTATCAGTCCTCTGTTCTGCAATTTACACATTGACAAATATTTCAAATATCTGCAGTATTTGTCCATAATTTAACTGTGTAATTTTTTTCAGCTCTTTTTCACCATTTGTAGCTAACTGCACCAGAGGACAAACAAAATGAGTAGTTAAAGTGTTAATAATATCTTAAAACTGAGGCCTTGTGGGTCGTTTTGACCCAGAGGCAGCAAGGGGGTTAACAACTAATTAAGTCTCTTTTGGCCATTTTATCTGATGCTAAAACTTATTGTTCAAAAGCTTGAAAGAGTAAAGAGACTTTGAAAATGTCAGGCAGCCTCAGTGGTTTGTTTACTTCGTGTCATTCTCTTACCTCGCGCCAATAAAACACTGTTAGCATTTGTGGTATTTTTATTGCTGTATTGCTGTCTGAAGATCACTGTGCATCTGAGGGCAAAGGTTAACCGTGACTTGTTGTGTCTCAGAGAGAGGAAATGTCTGCTGAAGGAGGCCGAGGTGCTTCACAAAGCCAGGTTCAACCACATCATCCARATCTTTGGCATCTGCAACGAGCCCGAGTTCTTCTGCATAGTCACGGAGTTCATGAGCAATGGCTCTCTGGACCAGCTGCTCCACGAGGTTCGCAGCTTTACTTTGCTAAGATATTACAAACAGTAACAGTTCACATGGATTAAGTTTCTCAGGCTCACAAGATCTTTGTTGTAAACTTCCCTCTGTTGCCAAAATGGGTGAGGTCTGATTGTTGTGCTGCCTTTACTGTAAGTCTTTTGCACACTAATAAAGAGGTTTTGTCATGAGATTCTTGTAAATAAAACAGAAAGTGAAAGCAAAACCTTGAAGCATCCACTTTCCAGTGAAACATGAAACCAGTTAAAGCAGCTCACCTGTTGTTTTGGAAAGTCCTGCTTTTGTCTGGCTTGTCTCTTCAAGARTTTTGCTAAAACTCCATAAAGCAAATCCTCCAACTTCACTGACAACTTTTCATCTACAGAAAGAAATGTACCCCATCCTTGGTTGGTGTTTGCGTCTGAGGATTCTGTATGAGATTGCCCTTGGGGTGAACTTCCTTCACAACATGACCCCACCTCTTTTACATCACGACCTGAAGACTCAGAACATACTGCTGGACGGCGAGTTCCATGTGAAGGTGTGTTTCAGAGCCACAGGAGCTGCTGGTGTGATAGAAAGTTTTACGTGAATCAGCAACATGTCCGTTAATGACCTGTTGCCTCGTCTCATCTGGCAAATCATTTAATCTTCTCTTCAGATCGCGGACTTTGGTCTCTCGAAGTGGCGGCAGCTGTCTGTCAGTAAAGGTTCTGGGTCCAAGCCCACAGAGATGGAGGGCACAGTCATCTACATGCCCCCAGAGGAGTACGAACCCTCCAAGAACCGCCGGGCGGATGTGAAGCACGACATGTACAGGTGAGGCATCGAAACCCAGCAGCAATTCTAAGAATGAGTTTAGGCAATGTTGTTTTTATACTGCGGTGTAAGAAGGCATGAGAGGAAAAACAGGAAGCACACCCTCTTTCAATTTCAGGCTTTGGTATTGAGAAAATATCAGGTTCTAAAATTATTCAAATCTAATTTCAGAAGCACATCAGGTTCCATCAGAACAGTTTTTAACTAAATAATTAGCCTAAATAAAGAAACTGTGTGGAAGTTGATTCTTTCTCCTTCCTTAAGAGGAAAAAATCAGCTGCTGATTTGAGTTTTGTCAGTTTGCTGCTCTGGAGTTTACAGATGTGTGTTAACACACCGCCGAGGAGGAAAGACCTCAGCAGTGATCTTAAGGCTGGTTTATACTTCTTGTCGCAAGTCTTTTACCCCCCCACTGAGTGACAAAAAGTTGCGCAACTTCCATCTGCACTCCCGCTGCGATCCCCCGGTGGCAGCTGTCGTATATATTGCCCCCAGTCAGCACTCCGAGACGCGGAGGTTGCGGCTCCGGTGGGCAACTTCGTCAAAACGAGCAGCGGACATTTGAAAATAAGAGAAGTGTTTTTCGTCATCCATCTCCCGCATCTGTTGAACCAACAAGCTAAACTCGCAACTAGCAGTTGTTTACATGCTAAGCTAGCACATGACGTATGCGGTGGGAGGGCAGAGGGAGGGATTACTATAATGTATCCCCCACGTCTTTTCCCAGTATAAACACTCAATGCTGTCGGTGACACACACGCAATTACGTCATCGCTGGGCCGCAGCCACACGTCTTGCATGAAGTATAAACAAAGAAGCAGCTGTTGCTGCTCATCAGTCTGGGAAAGGTTCAGATGTGTTTCCACTTTGATTTAAATCCATCTTTCTACAGAGAAGGAAATGATTTACAAGTGGAAAACATTTAAGATGCCTGCCAGTTTTCCAGAAGTGGATGTCCCAGCAAATTCACTCCAAAGTCAGACCACGCAATACTCGGGATAGTGCTGAGTGGTATGACCTATTTTTTATTTCATGGTATTTTCAACATTTATACCGGTAACACCGGTATTTTTCTTTTCACCACAGCTCAGCTGATAATAAAACGTACAAACACTGCTTATACATAAGCTGAAGTTACTCTCTTTCTGCAAAACAGAAACTATTTAACTTCTTCATTTTACTGTACTGTCTGTGTCGCTGTTTCACTCCTACTTGTCTTTTCTTCTCTGTTTGGTTGCAAACAGTCACACATTTTGGTCCAGTCCTGAAGGAGGGTTGAGCAAAGATCATTATCGGGTCTATTGTTTTATGTTATTAAAGTTTAACGGGACGACTCAGCCTCCGTGCACCAGTCAACTCTGGAGATGATGGTGCAAAGAAGGATTTTACATAAAATCAGGAACATTGTAGACAACCCTGACCATCCTCTTCATCAGACTGTCATAGAAAGACAAAGTGTCTTCAGTCGGAGGCTTCTTCAACTTCGCTGTAATACAGACCACTACAGAAGATCTTTCCTGCCCACAGCCATCAGCATCTACAATAAGTTTTTAGTTAAATGAGTTACAACAACACCTAATTTCCCTCTGGGATCAATAAAGTGTTTTTGAATTGAATTGAGTTGAATTGGATTGAATTGAATTGAACTGAACTAAACCCCAGTACAAAACCCAGGCTTTTCATAATAGAAGCACATTAATATTTCCATACATTAAAGCTGCAGTCTTTAATTTTATAAAACATATTTTTGACATGTTTGTTAAAACTGTCACTATGACCTGACAGATTGATATTAGACACATAATCTCTGAAAAAACAAAAGTCTTCTGGCTCCTCCCGGTGGTCCTACAGCCATCTTCAAATCTACCGCTCCCGAAGAAAAAGAGCAAATCAAAGCCCAGAGGTTTGTCTCACAGGTGTCAGTCATGTTCGTGAACAGTGGTACTGTGTGGGAGGAGCTTAGGAAGGTGGGCTGAAGCTTGACAGAGATCAAGGGGGAGGGACCTGAAGGTTGTATCTGTTCAAATTGTTTTTAAGGCTATGTTCACACTGCAGGCAAATGCGACCCAAATCAGATTTTTTTACGACGGTCTGAACAGGACAAATCTGATTTTTTTTTTTCAAATCTGACCCAGGCTGTTTCAGTATGTGGTTCTAAATCTGATACATGCCTGATGTTTTCAAAGCGGCTGCAGTGTGAACGCTCATGTCACATTCCATCTGACGTTTACATCAGTGAGGTGGGGTGAAGGTTCGATAAGACAATAACCTCAAGTCCTAACATTTAATCGGCTCTGATTAAACAATAACTTCAGATTCGACATGCTAAAAGTAGCATCCATGCTAACTCTGTAAACAAACAGCCAGCTGAATGAGAAGTCACATCTTTTACTGCACATACGTGTCACATCAGTGCTGTGGAGCGTTCACACTGGAGTCTGATGCAGGTCACATTTAAAATGTAGTGTGAACGTTCACACCAAAAGGTCTGAATTTTTTCAAAAATTCAGAATTGAGCATTAAGACCTGCAGTGTGAACATAGCCTAAGTCCAAGGTTTTCCAGAAACTGCATACAGTAGCTTTAACATTGCACATTAAATCTAATCGTGCACATTACTGAAGAGGTGGGGGGTTGGGGGCACTGATTGGTGGGCCTGATGGATAGAGCTTCATCAGAGATAAACAACAAAAGAAATCTGAAGCTTCTATGTTGAACAGTTTCTGAGTTATAAGCATTTTTGCATGTCCTGACACCCCTGCTTTGGATGGAGCCCCCTCCTCAAATATGGGGTCTATTGTAAAACCGTTGGCTGGCTCAGTGTAGGTCAGACTCAACTACAATCCTGCCAAATTTCACACTGATCGGTGCAGCCGTTCGGTTCTACAGTTGACCAAAAATCACTGAAAAAAAAAAAACAGTACGAAAAGCGTAAGCAGGAGTCATAATAATGGACTTCTGACGACCTTTGACCCTTTAGCAGTTGCTTTTCTGAGGTCATTGCTGATGTCTTTCCATCTTGGCATTGTGTTACACACACACACACACACACACACACACACACACA